CCTCAGCCCGGCGCAGTTCCTGAATCTGCAGCTGAAACCCTCCGTTTTAAATGTCCCAATAGAAGAGAATATCTGTCGCTCAGGGTTGCAATGAGGAGGCATTGGCGCTCCCTGAACTTGGTGGTTTGCTTGCAGACGTTTTATTACCCGACTAGGTAACAACATCAGATGTTACCTAGTCAGGTAATGAAACGTCTGCAAGCAAACCACCAAACTCGGACTCCTCCCCCCCTCCCAGTCCTTGAAAAAATGTTTCTGCATGAAACTGGTCCCTGGTACAAAAAAGGTTGGGGACCACTGCCCTACCCCACCTCTTCCACTGCCACTGCCCCCTCCTCAGTGCCAGCCCCTGCCCTGCCTCTGCCTGCGTGGGCCAGGGTGTGGCACAAACCGCGTACTGAGTTAGGGGCATTTGTGGTGCCCACTGCAAAGAGGGAGAAGCCAAACAGGAAGGAGGGGAATGTGGGGAGTCTGGGTGGGGGGGTTTCGAAACCAAAGGGTTTGGAGACCCCAGAAGACTTTTCTGATTGGCTGCTTCCACAGACACCAACGTGATTGTGGTAATCCTGGGCTGGCTACCAGCCCTCCCCAGCCCAGCCCAGCACCAAGCAGAGACAGGCCGATCCTTCCAAGCCTGCGCGAGAATCCGTGTTTTTCCTTGCATAAGCTGGCACAGAGCCAGGAAGGTAAACTGTCAGATCCGTGTATCTGCCATTCTTCAATGGAAGAAGAAGGGGGGGGGGGAAGTTGGTACAATAAATCCTTTTGGATGTAACCTGAATATATTAAATCCTATATTGACCCTGTATAACTTGCACATGTATACAACGGGAGGAGTGGAGCCAGACATCCAGAAACTTGTCACCTCTTGAAGAGATAACAAGATGAGAAGGAACCATAAAAATTCCAGCCCTGGAAGACGCTCCTGAGAACTACGCTTAAGATACGTTCCCATAGAAGAGGGGGAGGGGGGGATTAACTTGTGGGTTCTTTGTTTGACTCAATCCACATCTGAATGAGAGGAGGGGTTTTAACTCCCTTTATCTAGGACTGTCTGCCTGGGGATATCCTAGACTCTGCTTTGCCTACTGTTGAGATAAAATCCCTTTCAATGAAGGATTTCTTTTGAGCCACCTGCTCTTCAGAAGTTCATTCTTTTTGATTGAAGGGCAAATGTCCAATTGCAGAGTCTGCAATAGAGGTCAATTCCAGAGAGGACTTTAAAAAAAAAAAAACTTCACTCTACCGAGGGGACCCTGCAAAAATATCTGAATATAGCAAGGAGCAAGGGGAAGCCGAATGCTGGGGAGACTGACTTGGTGTACCCCATCAAAGACAGTGAAGCTGCCGGCGAAAATTCCACAAAGCCCCGATAGTCTGTTGGTGTAGGAAAGAGAGACAGCTGGGAGAGAAGGACCAAGGGAATAACCCTCACCCGGGGTAACCGTAAACCCAGGTGGAAAAGGGAGCTGGAGGCCCTTTCTGATCAGGAAGAAGGGGTCGAGGAACCAGTGGCAGATGATCGACTGAAACGGTACATAAATCACCTCATGAGGGAAGCCCTGGAGGGCCTCAATGTGCGGGATGAACCAGGTCTCCAACGAAGGAGAGCGAGTGAACCAGAAATTGAGAGAACCCGAGCCGTCACCCCTGATCCAGCTGAGAATGATCGAGCAATGGAACAAGCCGGAGGACCAGCAGCCATACCAGGTACCCGACCCCTTGCCGCCCCAGAGCAGGGGATTAACCCACCCCAACACAGGGACATACAACTGCAGAGAAAGGTCCCACCCTTGGGGGTAAAATTTGATAGGAACCCCCAGAAACTGGGATTTTTCCTGGCGCAAGTCCTCACCTACATGCAAGAATATGGGCAAAATTTCCTGACCCAGGGGGCTCGGGTGCGAGTTGTCAACTTGGGCCTAGAAAGGGCAGGAGCCAGATCGATGGTGACCCTCCACAACGTTAGTTCCCCAGAACTGAGGAACCCCGATCAATTCATGACAGCCCTATGCCACCACTTCGAACACCCCCTCGCCAATAGAAAAGCCCGTGACCGCATTAGAGTCATAAAGCAAGGCCGTCGCCCGGTAGCTGAGTACACTGAGGAATTTCATGACCTGGCTGGTCGAGTCGACTGGCCAGAAGATATCCTAGTCTGTTGGTTCAAAGATGGACTCAATGATGACCTGTATGCTGCCTGCCTGGCCCATGGGGCCCCAAACCTCCTACACGAATGGTACCTGATGGCAGAGATAGACATGACCCGAAACCAGTACCGCAGTGGCAAAGTCTGGAGAAGATCCCCACCCCAGGGAAACTGGGAATTTTTCAAACCCCAGACCACCATGACCCCAAGACCAGCTGGTTGCTTTAAGTATGGAAGAGAGGGGCACCATGCAGCAGAATGCCGTTCGAAAACCCCTGCCAGAAAGCCAGACCACCCATCAGGGGGGAATCCTGGAAAACCCAACCCTCAAGGAAAAGAAACTGGCCTGAGAAGCCGAGAAGCTGTGAGGTTCCACCCCACCCCCACCCCCCAAAAAAAACCGGAGGAAGAATCCCTGATGCCCCGAGGAGACCTGAGCCAGTCCAAAAGCAATCCGGAAGATGATCCACTGGTAAGCAACCCAATTGAACCGATCACTCTACCCCTAAGACTGTTTATCCCCAGCCGAGGGAAGGGGGAGGAAGTTGCAGTGTTACTGGATTCAGGATGCACCCAGTGTCTAATCAACCCCTCCCTAGCAGAGAAATTGGGAATCCAACTAAAGAAAATGGAAAGTCCCATCGCTTTTTGCCAATTAGATGGAACTATAGTGGAGGGGAGGGGGGGAGCCAGCCAATTTTGCCACAGAACCATTGAAAATAGGACTAGGGAACCATAGTGAGATGCTCACATTCATTGTAGCACCAGGAATGGAAGGGCCACTAGTCCTAGGACTCACGTGGCTACGGAAATGGAATCCAAAAATAAACTGGAAGAGAGGAACCGTACATTTCCAGAAACATGTAGCATTTGCAAACTGCCCAAAGGAAAGGAAAAGAAAGGGAATAGAGAACAGAGAACCGGCCATGTCCGGTCAGCCGGCTGAACCCATTAACATCCCCAACGAATACCAGGATTTAGCCCAAGAATTTAACGAGGAGGCTTCTGATGAACTCCCACCTCATCGCGCCACAGACTGCACCATTGAAATCCTACCAGGGGCTAAACTTCCAAAACCGAAAATGTACTGCATGTCCTCCAGAGAATTAAAAGAACTCAGGGTATTTATCGATAAAAATCTAAAAAGTGGTTTCATTGAACCTACCCGACCAAAAATAGCAGCCCCTGTATTATTCCGCAAAAAGAAAGATGGCTCTTTGCGTCTTTGTGTTAATTACCAAAACCTTAACGCCATCAATGTGGAGAACATGTACCCACTCCCCCTCATGAAGGATATGTTAGCCCACCTCTCTAAAGGAAATTTTTTTTTCAAAGTTAGACCTATGAGGAGCATACTACCACATTAGAGTAAGAGTAGGGGATGAGTGGAAGACGGCTTTTAACACCCCGCTGGGATGCTACCAATTTAAAGTGCTCCCTTTTGGATTACCAGGAGCCCCTGCTGTGTTTATGCAATTAATTAATGAGACCTTCCGTGAATTTTTGTATACAGGAGTTCTTGTTTATCTCGATGATATTTTAATCTACACCGAGGCAAAAGAAGAACACACCAAATTACTTCATGCAGTTCTCACAAAACTCCTAAACGCCAAACTATAAGCAAAACTCTCTAAATGTGAATTCCACCAGGAAAAAATTGACTACCTGGGATATAGAATATCCCACAAGGGGATAGAGATGGACCCACAAAAAGTAAAAGCTGTCATCGATTGGGAGATGCCCCATACTTCGCAAACAACTGCAAAGCTTCCTGGGTTTTGCAAACTTCATTCCAGCTTTTGCGAATATCACCCTTCCCATCACGAACTTGTTAAAAATGAAAGTGGGGGAGAAACCCAAACCCAGGCAACCTCTTACCTGGACGATGGAATGCCAAGTGGCATTCAAAAAATTTAAACAACTGTTCTCAGCAGAACCAATCCTGAAATACCCAGACCCTGAACAACCATTTGTCATCCAAGCAGATGCTAGCAATGTAGCAGTTGGAGCAGTTCTACTCCAAAAGAATGTACGTGGACAGCTACAACCATGTGCTTATACTTCCAAGAAACTGACAGGAACCGAACAAAGGTGGGCCATATGGGAGAAAGAGGCATATGCTGTACAATGGGCACTCCTCACATGGAGACATTTCCTGGAAGGGAACCAAATCCCCTTTGAAGTCTGGACTGATCATAAAAATCTAGAGGCCCTGAAAACTCCACGGAAACTCTCAGAAAAACAAGCAAGGTGGGCTCAATATTTTAAACAGTTTAACTTCACTCTCAAATATTTCCCATGGAGAAAAAATTTCTTGGCAGATGCTCTGTCCAGGAAACCCCAATACCACAGCAAAAAGATTGAAGTTATAAAACCCATGATCCAACCAACCCAACTTGCAGCCAAAGTAATC